CACAGATGTATAGTCACTGCTAACTGCAGAACTGTCGTAGATAGATAACGAATTGGGAGCCTTCACTGCTTGGCCAACTGGAGCATTTTTCAGGATTTCCATATCCAGCCTGAATCTGCCAGAAACTGAAGATGACTGTAAAGCTACCAGAAATTCATCATAGCTGAAGAGAGAACACCAGTAAACCTAGGAAAATCTGCACTCTTTGGTCGACTGAGGGTGACTGTTTTTTTCTGGTCTGTTTCTGCTATAGGGGGCAGTATAACCTAACAGTCTAGGAATTCCTGTGTCCCTCAATGGATGAGAAAGAAAAAAAATATTTATTGCCAAAAAAATAAAAAAAACCTTTGCTCCCCAAGCTCTTTAGTGAGCTAAAGTCTAATATCATGAGACATCTACAATGTTTCTAGTAGTCAAGTCAATCAATGCTTAAAGATTGCACACAGCATATTGTTTTCAGTCAGACAAATCCTGTAAGACTTTCAATGAGAAATGAGGACAATGAGGAGCAGCAAGACACCCTGCAAAGTATTGGGACACCCCTCCAAATCATCGGATTCAGGTGTTCCAATGTCTCATAGGCATGGAATGAGCAAGCTAAAGACCTTCAAACTTCATTTAACCCCTTGTTTGCTGTACTGCACAAGGTTGCAGGGCAATTGAAGAGCGGCCTCCTTCACTTGAATGAGTCATGCTTGGCAGGTGCTACACCCACCAACCATAACAGGGCGTAAGAGCAGCACTACAGAGCAGACATCAACTTATGTGGCTCTTGCTCCCTACTACAGCTCCAACTTTACAAGCAGTTCCTCTGGATTGAACTCTGATTGATGCTCTGGAATGGCGTGTCAGCAAACCCACACCAAGATCTATCAGTCACCTGGCCAAGATCTACTGAAACGAAGCTGACCCCTGATCTACAGTATATACAAATAGTAAAGGCTTGTGCACTGCTACACCCCAAATTCAATAAAGGAAGGAGGAGATTACTGCACTCACTCATCAAGTGTACTTTCACTCAAATTAAATAGTTAAACAAAAATGTGATGCGCTAACTCCTCAAAATGTGAAAACATCAGCTTTAAAAATATGCAGTATCAGTCCACAAACGTGCAAAATGTGAAGTTGTATCAGTCCAATCCAACATATGTTTTGCTATCATTCAACAATATGCAAGGCCGTGCTTGAATTGTAGCCCCAATCCCTGCTCACCTTGAAGTGTCACCTATAAATTATAATAGGCCAAATGCGCTAAACATTTGTTTAGCTCATTACGTGAAAGTAAGGGTAAATAATATAACTTAGATTACAAAATCTTCAGTTTTACACAAATTAGTTGATGCAAAAATGAAAAAACTCCACAACAAATACTACTCCATCTAGTATTTTGTATGACCTCCATGATCTGTAAAGACAGCACCAAGTCTTCTAGGAATGGAATGAACAAGTTGACCACATCTATCTTTTTCCATTCTTCAAGAACGATCCCTTTTAGAGCCTGGATGCTGGATGGAGAGTGAAGCTCAACTTGTCTCTTCAGAATTCCTCATAGGTGTTTGGGTTTAAATCAGGAGACATACAGTCAGGTCCATAAATATTGGGACATCCACACAATTCTAACATTTTTGGCTCTATACACCACCACAATGGATTTGAAATGAAATGAACAAGATGCGCTTTAACTGCAGACTGTCAGCTTTAATTTGAGTGTATTTACATTAAAATCAGGTGAACGGTGTAGGAATTGCAACAGTTTGCATATGTGCCTCCCACTTATTAAGGGACCAAAAGTAATGGGACAGAATATTAATCATAAATCAAACTTTCACTTTTTAATACTTGGTTGCAAATCCTTTGCAGTCAATTACAGCCTGAAGTCTGGAACGCATAGACATCACCAGATGCTGGGTTTCATCCCTGGTGATGCTCTGCCAGGCCTCTCCTGCAATTGTCTTCAGTTCCTGCTTGTTCTTGGGGCATTTTCCCTTCAGTTTTGTCTTCAGCAAGTGAAATGCATGCTCAATCTGATTCAGGTCAGGTGATTGACTTAGCCATTGCATAACATTCCACTTCTTTCCCTTAAAAAACTCTGGTTGCTTTTGCAGTATGCTTTGGGTCATTGTCCATCTGCACTGTGAAGCAGCGTCCAATGAGTTGTGAAGCATTTGGCTGAATATGAGCAGATAATAATGCCCGAAACACTTCAGAATTCATCCTGCTGCTTTTGTCAGCAGTCACATCATCAATAAATTCAAGAGAACCAGTTCCATTGGCAGCCATACATGCCCACGCCATGACACTACCACCACCATGCTTCACTGATGAGGTGGTATGCTTAGGATCATGAGCAGTTCCTTTCCTTCTCCATACTCTTCTCTTCCCATCACTCTGGTACAAGTTGATATTGGTCTCATCTGTCCATAGGATGTTGTTCCAGAACTGTGAAGGCTTTTTTAGATGTCGTTTGGCAAACTCTAATCTGGCCTTCCTGTTTTTGAGGCTCACCAATGGTTTACATCTTGTGGTGAACCCTCTGTATTCACTCTGGTGAAGTGTTCTCTTGATTGTTGACTTTTACACACATACACCTACCTCCTGGAGAGTGTTCTTGATCTGGCCAACTGTTGTGAAGGGTGTTTTTCTTCACCAGGGAAAGAATTCTTCAGTCATCCACCACAGTTGTTTTCCGTGGTCTTTTGGTGTTGCTGAGCTCACCGGTGCGTTCGTTCTTTTTAAGAATGTTCCAAACAGTTGTTTTGGCCACGCCTAATGTTTTTGCTATCTCTCTGATTTTTGTTTTGTTTTTTCAGCCTAATGATGGCTTGCTTCACTGATAGTGACGGCTCTTTGGATCTCATCTTGAGAGTTGACAGCAACAGATTCCAAATGCAAATAGCACACTTGAAATTAACTCTGGACCTTTTATCTGCCCATTGTAATTTGGATAATGAGGGAATAACACACCTGCCCATGGAACAGCTGAGAAGCCAATTGTCCCATTACTTTTGGTCCCTTAATAAGTGGGAGGCACATATGCAAACTGTTGTAATTCCTACACCGTTCACCTGATTTGGATGTAAATACCCTCAAATTAAAGCTGACAGTCTGCAGTTAAAGCACATCTTGTTCGTTTCATTTCAAATCCATTGTGGTGGTGTATAGAGCCAAAAATGTTAGAATTGTGTCGATGTCCCAATATTTATGGACCTGACTGTACTTGGCCACTGAATCACTTTCACCCTGTTGTTCTTCAAAAATGCAATAGTGGCCTTAGATGTGTGTTTTGGATCATTGTCATGTTGGAGCAGTGCACGACGACTAAGGGCACAGAGTGATGGTAGCAGCTTCTCTTTCAATAAAGAGCAGTACATCTGTGAATTCATGATACCATCAATGAAATGCAGCTCCCCAACACCAGCAGCACTCATGCAGCCACACAGAAGGACATTACCACCACCATTCATTTTTCTTTGTACTTCTCACCTTTGTAGTCTGGAATGATGATACCAAGATAAATGTTTTTGGAACTTATGGCTTCAAAACTGTATGGAGTCACAGAGTCCCAGTAGTCTTCTTTTTCACAATGGGCCCTGACAAATTCCAGGCTTCTTTTGTGGACGACACCCATGCATGACATTCCTCTGCAGTGTACGCCATATTGTGTCACTGGAAACAATCACCTCGGTTTGGCTTTCTACTTCTTTAGTTAACTGCAGTGAACTTGCATGGCAATTTACTTCAACCCTTCTCATTAGAAAAAGGTGTTAACTTCAGTGGAATGCCTGGACGTCTCTGTGAGATGGTTGCAATTCCATCTTTGTTAAATTTTTGTATCACTTTTGCTACAGTATTCTGACTGATAAGTAAAGCTTTGCTGATCTTCTTTTAGCCTTCACCTTTCTTGTGTAAAGAAATTATTTTCTTTCTCAGACCTTATGACATTCTCTTCCATGTGGTACCATTGCTGACAGCATGAAATGGGAAGGGTTTTCTTTGTTAAGTAATGTCCTTTTATCAACTGTCTGCTGGACACCTGTTTAATTAATAAATAGACTCACTTGTAGTTGAATTCTTGTTAATTAGGATTCTGTTGTCTAAAATTTAGCTTTGCTCCTAAGACTTTCAATGGGGTGTATTCATTTTTGCAACATGGTGTTGAATGAATTTGTTAAGAAAAATACTTTGTGTGTGCAAATTCACAAATCTTTTTTGCACTCAATCACCTGCATTTGTGGGAGTATTTTGTAGTATAGTGTCCCATAGAAAATATTGATTTCTGACAAATCTGTGGGGGTGTACTCATTTATGCTTAGAACTGTCTGTTACGTGTAAAATAAGGTTTCTGATATGTTAGCACAAACTGACAACATTAAGCTAAACTAGAGCATTTTAAAAGACCATAGTTCCCTTTCAATACATACCATATACATATTTTAACGGCACATTGTAACACAAGTTTGAACAGTTGTTCTTACCTCCAGTCATCACTGCTCTGGTGACACCTCAGTGGGACAGGGTGGGGTTTTCCAATGCTTTGGGGACACTGATAAAATGTGTTAAAGAATGTAACTACATGGGACATTGTGATATTTTGAAGTGTTGCCATACTGACACCCTGTGAGGAACATACCAAGCATAAGAGACATTCTTTCAGGTACTCCCCGAGCACATGGAGCCCTATGACAGATGATATGTCCTCACTTGCTAAATCACATTATGGCAAGTGATGCCTTCTGCTACCTGTTATATTGATGTGAACTGTGTTGTCTTATGGCATAGTCACATGTTCTGACCAGTTCTGTGCTATATTCACAGAATGTTGTTCCACTGACATTCGTGGACACATTGAGACATAATTTTTTTTCTTTTACTTAACACTAGTTTGCCACTTTAGTCAATAATCAAATTTTTTGCTAGAGTTCCATATAAAAGCTATGCCGTACTACACTGTATCCATACTACCCAAAATTAAAGCCTCAAATATTTTTTCTTCCATTCAGACGAAATGTTTCATCTGTGGAATCGGAAATGATTACTTTGACACGACTCCGCATGGCTTTGAAACGCACACCTTACAAGAGCACAATTTGGCCAACTATCTGTAAGTAGAAAAGGATTCTTCTGCTTAGCAGTGAGTGCTGGATCCTCTCTGTGAAATGTTGTATTCTGTAAAAACTTTGCCAGCCAGAGAAGATGGATGTTCACAATCAGGCACATTTTATCAGTTTTATTCATGCGTCCTAAATGGTTGAAGCCACAAACTCCTGCACATGCTTTCATTCATTCTGCTGCGGATCTGTACTGTGTGTGATGGAGAAAAGTGGTGGCTGATAGCATATAGAAAAGGAAGACAGGTAGAGACAACTGATGAAAATATTTAAATATTCCTTCAAACATTTCATGTGCAATCTTAGACATAGCTGAAGGAATTCTTCCACACTGACCTTTTCAAACAGACGCTGTATAGCCACAGGTGTCAAATGTTAATTCCTACAGGATATCTACAAATGTCTCTTGAAGTCAGCTCATATCATGATGATTTTTTTTTTACTTTTACTGCTGATAGATAGTGCTGTGAAGTGAGAATGCCTAAGCATGAGCTGTCATAGCTACTGCCAATGCAATCAAATATGTCACTCAGCAGATTAGGAATTACAAAGCGAACCCTTAAGTGTTTCCAGTGAGTATTTATACCTTCTTGCCTGCAGGAACAACTGTTCATGAATTTTCACTGGCCAATAGGGTCAATGATACTAACAGTCTTTTCAACAAGTGTTAGTAATCTGCCTTCATTGTATGTGAAAAACAGCCAGGTCTATTTATTTCTCTGTAATTAGTACATCAGTTTTCTACACAATTATTCTCAGAATAGTGCTTTTGGCATGGAAAACCAGTGTAATTTAAAAGTGTGTGCATTTATGTCCCTGACCTATAAACAATCTACTTGGCCTGACTAACATTTGGGGAATGTTGGGATGAGGATAGCTTTAACAATAACCAATTAGAACTGATGAGGGAGCCCAAGTGCAGACACCTTCCAATGCCTACCAATGCCTATATGCACACTTTTTTCAGATAACCCTATTATTTTGAAATTCCCTGTGTTTTATTAGGTAAGTAATGACAAAATTTCTTCCTATTTGCTCTGTAGCCTGCCCCTACCTATCTACTACCATTTGACAGCAAAGTGTGATGGGTAGCCTAATTAACCAATTGGAAGAGAAGGAGAGCAGAGAGGGATGGACATCAGAACTGGAAAGGGATCCTGATCGATTTGATTACGAGTGATAAGATTTTAATGGTTTCCTCCCACACTCCAAAGACATGCTGATAGGTTAATTGGGCCCTGATTAAATTGGCCCTAGTATGTGTATGTATGAATGTAAATTAGGGACCTTAGAATGTACGCCTCTTGAGGGCTAGGACTGATGTGAATGTACAAAATACAGTATATGTGAAGCACTGCGTACATTGATGGCACTATATAAGTCCTTGTAATAATGGGTAACAAGGTGATCTGCAAAGAAACATGAAGGCTCCAAAGGGTGCCTGCATTTGCCTCCCATTGTCAGTTTCTATAGGAATTTCAGCTTACAGGCTAGCCTTAAACAAACTGTATCTAAGGTAAAAGTGAATGTATTCAAATATTTATAGCCTGCTCCTATTAATTTTGGAGTTCTTGAAGTTTAACAAACCTACTGAAGAATGCCACACATTTAATTCCTTGAATTCTGTGACACGTATGCACTATGTTCTGTGTATATGCACTGCTTGTGTCATAAGTTTCACAGAGCCTTCCTTCTGAACTACAGGAGGCACAGTCAGTATAGGAAACACTCCACATCATATCTGCTTACAGGCAGCAAGGTACTATGGGATATGTAGTCTTTATAAATCAACAGTAAGCCAATGGAATGATCAGAGGAAAATCTACAAAGCATGTAGGGAATTCAGGAAGTTATTGAAAAATATGGCCAGCAGACAGTCTGCATTCACAGCATGAATGGAGATTTTTCAAATAATCTTATATTGGATTGTCAAATGATGATGTTATAAAAATGAAAGTGTATGCTGTGATTTTAATTTTTATTATTCGATTATTATTACTGTCTGTGCCTTTCTTTGCCAATCACAACTGATTTTCGCATTTCTAGTTCTGCTGTCAAAAAGACAGATGTGTGACAAAGTCTCCCAAGCAGTGTCAAGGACAATAAAAAAACCCTCCACTCAATCCTATGCAGTTTGGCTGTTTATCCCATACAACGGGCCTCAAGTACTCCTACTTGGTCATCTTACACCATCTGGGATTGTTCACACCAACAAATGGTGAAATGTGACTCAGCATGACTAAATGGCACTATAACACTTTGCAGCCTGCTAGGAGCACATTTTGAATACCACCCCAATGGCTCTCCAGCACACAGCTGAATTAGAGCGTGCCGCAGATCATTATGTGTTGTGCTTTGCTGTGGTGCAAAAAAAAATGGAAAACCTATTTTTTGCTATACTTACAGTCCATTCAAAGCAAGAAAATATGTGGATTGCAGCACACTGCGTTCTGGTGTGAATTGGTCCCCAATCAATACTAATGGCTCAGTAATTACTCTAGTTTCATCTAAGGAACTTCCTGAAAACATAACCGTGGGAGGAACTTGGGGACTAGATTAAAGGACTAGAGTCTTAAAGTAGTTGTAAAGGCTCAAGGTTTTTTTACCTTTATGCATTGTATGTATGAAGGTAAAACCACCTCTGTGTGTAGCAGCCCCCCAAAACATTTACCTGAGCCCCATCCCAAACCAGCAATGTTCCCTGGGAACACTCACTCCTAATTGGCAGCAGTGGGAGCCAATGGCAATCACAGCCAGGAGAGGGAGGTAGCGGGGCCAAGCCGTGGCTGTGTGTGTGAATGGACACGCAAAGCTGTGGCTCAGGAACATGCCTGCTTGGGTGCCCCCATAGCAAGTTGCTTGCTATGGGGGCACCTGACAGGAGGGAGGTGACAGGAGCGCCGGTGGGGGACCTGAGAAGCAGAGGATCTGGGCTTCTGTGTGCAAAACCACTGCACAGAGCAGGTAAGTATGACTTGTTTGTTAATTAAAAAAAAAAATCTTTAGTATCACTATAACCCAACCCTTAAAAAAAGCCTAAACTCTGACCAGACATTAACTGGACCCTAATCCCTAATACTATGTACTTACCTTGCTACCCTCACAGTCTTACAGTGCCAAAATCATGGTGCCAAAAGAAATTATTTGCCTCTGCTACCCTATATTTTACTAAAATATCTGAACAACTTCCCAAAATAGAGATAAAGGAATGGCTTCAATGAGGGAAAAAAAGCTAACAACATTTTGGTCCATTTATTAAAAATAGGAATTCTGTTCCTCTGATTTGTAATGCTTATCTGTTAGAAATACCCATGCATCAGCCTTGTTCAGAGCTCATTAACAGTAATCACTAGCAATGTGTAGAAATTTTCTTCTAGCCTTATCTTTTTGAGTTATGTGAATAACATTGTGCTTGTTTCAGGTTCTTCCTTATGTATATAATTAATAAAGATGAAACAGAACACACCGGCCAGGTAGGTTTTCTGTTGCTCTTCATTTTCTCTCTCTTTTAGGAAAAAATAAAGTGATATTAAACCCAAAACCAAAAATTTAATATACTGCAGCTATCAATCATTAGAGCTGGTGGCTGCATTCGTTCCAGCAAACAGTTTTTTTTTTCCTTTTGGGATAAAGATTTTACATGATTAAATAAAGCTGATCATTTTAACCACCACTGCTAGCATTACATAGTTTATCTCATGCATGTAAATTGATACATTCTGCTGGAGAGCTTGTGCTTTTAAAAAAAAAAACAGGAGATTCCTGGCTGGATCACTAGATGATAATAAAAGAAAGTGTTACTAAACTCAAATTTTTTTTTTAATAAAAATAACAAATATGTTATACTCACCTGCTCTGTGCGGCAGTATTGCACAGAGTGGCTCTGATCCTCCTCTTCTCAGGTCCCCCAGCCAGCGATCTTGGCTTTTCCTCCTCTTAGTGTGTCCTCATAGCTAGCTGTTTGCTATAGAGGCACACAGTGTTTGCGTGCTCCCAAGCTGTGTGTCTATGGAGCTGCTCTCCATAGACTTACACAGCAGGACTTAGTCCTGCCCCCCACTTCTCACTGCATTTGATTAACAGCACCAGGAGCCAATGGCTTCTGCTGCTGCTTGAGTGCTGTGTGAAGAGAAAGATTGGGGAGAAGAGATGCAGCCATGCACAGCGCTGCACCTATTCATCCCTGTTTTTTACCTTAATGCAAGAAATCCATTAAGAAATGTTTTTATCACTTTAAAAATAAAACGAATGTAGCCATTACATCTAAGAATTTATAAGCTGCAATATCATAAATGTTTGTTTGCAATTCGTTGGTGAAGTCTTGTTGATCAGGGCTTTATAAACATTTAAAAATTATATTTTCTATGCTTTGACAGAATGTCCAAATGAATAAACTACAACCAAACTGTGCCTTTATGCTGAAACTGTATTTATTGTGAAAAGGAAAAGTGTTTCCATCTAGCTGTGTATTGCATAAATCTTCAATATTATAACTAAATAATTTGTCTTAGCTAATAGCTTTCTCAACTACTTCCCTATTTACTATGATCAGTTTTGTAACTATGCAACAAAGAATCGAACCACAATTGACTGGGGTTCTCAGCCATCTCCTCATTACACACACAGTAATTTTGATAGATACCACATTTTTATATTTTCCTGTAATATTTTCACTGACCACACACAATACGATTTTGTATATGCTAACCTATGAATTTCCTCACTCTCCTCTCTTTGCATTTCTGTGCAATGCGATTTTCAGGCCATTCATTTGATTGGGCTGAAATAGCACTGGATTGCTATAAAAGTCGTGCAGGCACTACTTTTGAAAACACACTGTAATTGGATTGCATAGTACTGCGGTACCATGCAATCCAGCAAAGACAAATACACTGCATTTACAATCTACATGTAGGGTGTGGTTAGGATTACATTGAAACCCGCAGCAGACTGCACACCCAGTTAATTTTGAACCCAGTGCTGGACATGCACAC